CCCCCCCCGGCCCTCAGGCCCACACAGAAGGCCACGAGCAGAGGCCTTGTCTTGTCCAGGAACGCGCACATTCTTCTCAAACAACTGCCGCGGACGTCGCGGGAGGAGAAGTGGTGGTTGGTGGACGAGGGTCCTCCCAGTAGAGTGGGTCTGCGGCCGGGAGACACTAGTCGACACAACAGCGCGACCCGGGAAAAAACAAAATCCACCTGTACTTGCGAACTGCGGTTCCACACACTTTATGAAAATTCTTTGAAAACTTGTACTCATTTAAGAAATGCAAGGGGCGTGTCGGATTTATGAACGCAGTCTTCTACCAATTCTCATCTTGGTCGAAGAGATAAATGAACTGCAGCGATTTGTGCGAGGATTTATGGATTATAGTGGTTAGAGTACGTTAACCGCGACGTTAACTTTCACGCGTTTGCACACGGGAAGTTTTCCCCTAAAAACCCTTACAGATTACATTACACCGAACTAGTGATTTTTTTGTGGTTTCCGGATCATTTTGAATCCATATCAATCATTTCCTTAATCATCCTTTTCAAACATCAACAATTTTTCAATCATTTCAAATTGTTCCCTCTGAAATCATTACACGTCGTTTCGTTTTCGCATAGGAGGGGCAGCAGAAGGATCGCGAAATAACACGCACGCACCCGGTGTGCTTAATAAGACCCGGCCGGGCAGGATTTGAGAAGGTTTCGGGGTAACAGTGGGAGTGGTCCGTGCCGACCCGAAACAACATACGAGGCACGCAAAAGTGAAAGCCTGCGCCGCACCCACGCCACGCCAGCGCTCTGAGTAGCCTCACCGTTTGCGAGTGAAGCGCAGCGGCGCAGGCGGTGGGCGGTGGGCGGTGGGCGGGGTACGGTGGCCTGCTGCTGGCCATTTACAGGAAATCCCGCGTGCCGGAAGCTTGCAGAAAAAAGGGGTTGGTGCGATTGGCGAAATGCCGCTGCCAGCCACTTTTCCTCTTATCGCTGGGTGCAGTTACACTGTAAACTCGCCAATATATTGGCATCATAAGACGCCAAGATTTGGCGTTACGGTAAATGACGCCAAATTTTGGTGTGTTTTCCAAAAGAACGCCAATAGTTGGCGTCAAAAGACGCAAAAATTTGGGCGTTCATCATAGGACGCCAACATTTTGGCGTCATAAGACGCGGACCAGTTTTCAGTGTTAACGCATATCGCATCGAAGACAGGTGTGAGCCATCCCGACCGACAGCGGGATGGTCGTGCGCTGTGAGAAAGTGACGCTTCCGCGCGGTTCCCTCTCAATGTAAGGCGGCCCCTTTCCCAGCTGAGCGTACAGCGCGTCAATGCCGCGCATGCCGCACACCCCCGCCCTGCCCCCCAAAATCACGCGCGCGTCGGATAAAGCCTTCCCCCCCGAGCCGAGCCCCCTGTCCCTTCTTCTCCTCCCGTGTCGCACGAGGAGACAGGATGGGGGCTGAGCGGACGTGACTCGATCCTGTGGCTGGCGGAGCGGGGGGCGGGGAACGTGTCGGTCCCACGTCATTTATTGATATCGACCAAAAGAAGAGAATCCTTTATCCTATACTTGCAGACAATGCTGTAAAAGCGTCTGTACGCGCGGGCGACAATTCAGACATGCACGGAAAACATGTTGTGTCCCAGTTAACACTGTATCTGGATTTGTGAGAACCTTATCCCTAATATCATGTACTTTTGTGCCGAGGGTCAATTTACGCCAAATATTCACAAGTTTCAAGAAAATTTTCGTTTAAAATGAAAAGCGAAGAAAAGAGTGTCATCACTTATGTTAGTCTGTCATCAGATGACTCACAATAATTATTGTTAACAGTGTAGGGTGGGCCACCCTGCCGCTCACTTGCTACTCGTTTTCTTCTCGCTGAGCGGCTCACAGCTGACTGTGACGCTCTTTCGATTTTCCACGCCATAGTCCGGCGCAATGGACTGTTTGTCCGGGCCGGGCTACGAACCGGCGGAGCCAGGGGGCGCTGGCAGTGTTGTTGACAATCTGTTAAAAAATAAAACGACGGGGAAGTGAATTATCGGGGTGCGCGTTATTTGTGTGTAGAGTAAAGCGGGTCGACCCCACGGCGAGAAGGGGCACCTCACCTCGAAAGGGCACTACTTGTAGATCCACAACACATCTTCGCCCTCCCAATCGCTTATTTCAATTCCCTTTCTTATAATAACTTATACTCGGCGCCACTGTGGGCAAGTGGCATGGCGTGGCGGGGCGGTGCGTGGCGGGGAGCGCGGGGCAGGCCGGCTGATGCTACTCGCACCTGACGGTCCACTCAGGTCGGCCAAAGTGCCGCGTCATGGCCGATAACCTGGCGGCGCGCTCGGGCGGCTCGCGCCTGACAGCGGCGGCCCGGCCTGGCCCAGCCCCGCTGCACGGCTCCCAGGGGTACTGCCCACGCCCCCAGCCCGGGAAATAAGTGATATTAGCGATTTAGTGACGTCCAAGCACAGAAAAAAGGGTGTTTGTAAAGTTAAAGAAAACAACAAAAAAAAACAACATTGAATTTTCTGTTTGCTGTTTCATCAAAACTGTTTGCTATTGCTGTATTTTTGAAAAAAATCTTTGCTCCACTAACATCAATTGTTTTTCTGTTAGCCCAAGCCCAGCCGATAAAAACATACAGCTGGAACAGGAAAAAAACAAAAACAGCGAAAAAGAAATAATCTCTTTGAGAAAATGCTTTTTAAAAAAATGTGATCTATACTGCGGATAGCGATGGCTGTGCAACTTCGCCGCACGAGGCTGCGTCCGTTGTCAAAGTACCACATGTAATTACTATTCAGTGGTGTCAAGGCAGGCAGGGGTGCTTCAGGCGTTGACTTTTGAAAAAATATGAGACCGATTTACGAGAGTGACGGATGAATCCATATCGAACGATAAGGCCGTCTTTCCCCAGAATAGCTCAGAATAGCACACCCCACCCCCACCGTTTCCACGCCCCGCCCCGACGCTGCGCCATGGGCTCCAGTCCAGACCAGAGCTTTACAGGCTTACAGGCGAGCACACTCCCCCCACACAGCACAATACGTTCCTCTCGGAACTGCCGAAATCTTTCCCCTAAAGTGGAAACCCCGGCGTCTTTGATTCATACTTGGAGGAATGCTTATTTTGATTCTAAGAAGCCTTGTGAGATTCGAAACTAAATCCTTTATTATTCTTCGTACTTATTTTTTTATTTTTTTTAAGGATTCATTGTGATAATATTAAATTGTTTGTAGTCCACGAAAATTCGTGTCGTAACTAGTAGAATAACCTGGCACTAGCTTTCGGCGACAAATCTCTGCGCTGTGCAGCGTCTGTGCAGCCGCGGACAGTGTTCGCATGACGAGGCGCTGTTGCACCTGCAGCTGGCGGCGTGTGTGTGACCCGGCCCAGCCGTCCGATTAGGATGGCCGCCCGACGGGCCGCCCGCAGCTGTCGGCTCCCGGAACACTCTGGTGTAGCGGGGCCGGGCGGGGCGCCGGGCGGCGCGTTCGAGTCTGCCAGGCCTGACCTGGATCAGGGTCCGGTGAGTGGCCGTGGCATGACACGTTGCGTCCCGCCAGACCCATGTCCCTGCGGTCCTACTCCGGGTCCGGGTGGTGGTGGGCTCCGGAGCCGGGCCCCCGTAGCTGTAGGCCCGGGCCCAGCAGACGCGGGCCCCCCGAGTGTCGCACGACATGTGGGTCACCCGGCGGCTGCAATGGAATAATACGCGCCTCCCGAAATATGCGTCTATTCCAGGACGCTGAAAGCTGAGTGACGAAAAAGGTTTGCCGTTCTGTCGCACAAGACGCCAACATTTGCCGTTCTTTCGCGAAAGACGCCAACATTTGCCGTTCTTTCTCAGAAGACGTCAAAATTTGGTGTCTTTGAACGCCAATATCTTGGCGTCTAAAGACAACAGCCAAACTGCAGTGCACCCACAGTTTTTCCTTCCTTCAAAATTTTAGCACGTGCAAGAATTCAAGTTCTGACAGAAGGCTTGGTGTTCGCGCATTTCATTTCAGCAGTGCTCTCGACGACTTGTCCGCAGCAACAAACGTGCAACTCACTTTGTCAAACACGTGCGCGGGCACACTACTTTGCGAGTGCGCTTGCGATCGATGAGACGTGCGCAAAGTTGTCGCCTCGGCTCTCGGCCGCGCTGCCCCCGGGCCGCGCACGTCTGCGGACGGAAGAGGAAAACTGGCTGAAATTTGACGGGTCTCCGACGGCCCGTCAAATATACAAGGGAGAAAAAAGAAGGACGAGAGAAAGCGAGGGGAAGAGGGGAAGAGGGTGGGGCGGGTAGGGCATCGACGTGCCGACGACGGGGTGCAGAGTGGGGTAAACAAGGCAGTGGTACGGGTAGGGGGGAGGGGGGAGGAGGGCTATCGAGCCCGAGCCCAGGGTGTCCGAATGAAGTGGTGACATTTAAGATGGGGTGGGAGGGGGATAGGCTGGTAAAGGGGAGAGGGGCGTTGACTTGGAGAAGGGGAGGAGGGGTTACAAAGACCGCCAGTGACCTGTTGCCGGAAGGGGCTGAATAGAGGCGGCCCTTGGAAAGCGTATGGCCTGCGGGGCCGGGCTCCGACAAGCAAGACGACGAACTTGAGCTTCGGTACCGCGACAAAAAAAGGCGGGGATACAGGAAAGTGCGCGTGTACGGAGAAAGACGCAGCCAGACGCCTGGTGAGGCAGTGAGTAGGCACCCCGGTGGGCCCGCCCGCGCAGCGGGTCTGCCTAGCCTC